AAAAACAAAACAAAACAAAACCATCAGGCATTCTTGCATTTGCCTACAGAAGAACAGGCACACCATATCCAAATAACAAGCTTACCCACATCCAACTAACTTGCAGCCTCTGCTTATAAGCCTTACACATTTTAATCAAGATTAGTAATGGACCCGAATGAAAATACAAAATTAACAATCTTCACAGAAAGGAAAGGACATGATTGTTAGATTTTGATTAATTTTATGTCCCACATCGGATGTGTACCAAAGATGTGTAGGATCTTTTTACTATAAATAGGTCCCTTGCTTTTGGGTTACAATTGCACCTTATTCTATTCTCTCCTATTTAGAAGGAAATACTTAATTAAGGAAATCCTATTTTGTGGGCCATTTAACCCTAGTTGTATTTTGTTGGTGAGTTTAGTAAATTTGGCGTTGCGGTTGGCGGTGCCCGGAGACGTAGGCTATTTTCGCCGAACTCCGTTATCAATTTTTGTGTTCTTTTCTTTCCCGTCTTTTATTTGTGTTGGATTATTTTGGAGTAGTGTTCGCCATATTCGTTGGAGGGGTATTTTTGTCCGCTGCGCTTGTTGTGATACCCCAACAAGTGGTATCAGAGCCGAAGGTTCGTCACAGGCTCATTCGGAGAGGCGAGCACTGCATTCGGGTCTGAGATGTCCAAGGAGGTCAAGGGCGCATCATCCTCTTCCGGCAAGGACGGTGATGCCGAACGTCAGACTCCCGGTGGAGATTTTCGACGGGACCGGTCATTTCGGCATGTGGCAAGGCGAGGTGCTGGATTGTTTATTTCAGCAAGACGTTGACATTGCGATTGAAAAGGAGAAGCCAACAGACATTGAAGAGAAGGACTGGAAGAATATCAACCGCTTAGCATGTGGAACAATTCGTTCGTGTTTGTCGAGGGAGCAGAAGTACGCGTTCAAGAATGAGAACTCTGCTCACACTTTGTGGAAGGCTTTGGAGGATAAATTTCTGAAGAAAAGCGGCCAGAATAAGCTCCTCATAAAGAAGCGATTGTTCCGTTTTGAGTACCGACATGGCACATCGATGAATGATCACGTCACTGCATTCAATCAGCTAGTTGCAGATTTGTTGAATTTGGACGTCACATTCAGCGATGAAGATTTGGCTCTAATGTTGTTATCATCACTTTCAGACGACTTCGAGCACTTAAAGACTACTCTGCTCCATGGGAAGGACGATGTAACTCTTGTAGTGGTCAGTTCTGCTCTGTATAGCTATGAGTTAAGAAAGAAGAACAAACAAGAGACAAAGAATGCAGCAGCAGAAGATGAAGCGTTAGTTGCAAGAGGTCGGTCGAAGAGCCAAAAGAAGAATGGACGAGGAAGATCACGTTCCAAAGCCAAGCTTGAAAAAGACGAGTGTGCTTTCTGCCATGAGAAGGGACACTGGAAGAAAGACTGTCTAAGTTGAAGAAGAAGGGCAAATCTCCTCAAGATGCATATGTTGCTGAGGGTGGAAGTGAAGACTCAGAATTTTCACTTGTGGTTTCACCTTCATCATCTCATCCAGACGAATGGATTTTGGATTCAGGATGCACCTACCATATGTCTCCCATAAGGGAGTGGTTCTTCAATTTTCAGGAGATCAACGGAGGGGTTGTCTATATGGGTAATGATAATGCTTGTAAGACAACTGGGATAGGTTCAATCCGTTTGAAGAATCGCGATGGTTCCACCAGAGTTTTGACGGATGTTCGGTACGCGCCGAGTTTGAAGAAAACCCTCATCTCATTAGGAGCCTTGGAATCCAAAGGCTTGGTAGTGACTTTGCGAGATGGAGTTATGAAGGCTATATCCGGCTCGCTCGTGGTGATGAAAGGCATAAGGAGGAATAATTTGTATTACTATGAAGGTGATACAGTCGTTGAGACAGTAACAGTAGCAGATTCCACTAACAAGGAGTCTGAAGCAGTCAAGTTGTGGCATAAGCGTTTGGGACATGCTGGTGAAAAGTCCTTGCAAACATTGGCAAAACAAGGACTGTTGAAAGATGTCAAAGTGTGCAAACTAGACTTTTGTGAGCACTGTGTTTTGGGAAAGCAGAAGAGAGTGAAGTTTGGAACGGCTATCCATAATACCGAAGGTGTCTTGGATTATGTTCATTCGGATGTTTGGGGACCTTCTAAGACCCCATCATTAGGCGGAAGACGCTATTTTGTCACTTTCATCGATGACTTTTCTAGACGTATTTGGGTGTACATTATGAAGACGAAGGATGAAGTGCTTGGTGTCTTCATTACATGGAAGACACAAATAGAGAACCAGACTGGAAGGAAGATCAAGGTCCTACGAACGGACAATGGTGGAGAATATACAAGCGATCTCTTTCAAGAGGTTTGCCGTAAAAATGGCATTGTTAGGCACTTCACCGTTAGAAGGACACCACAACAAAATGGGGTGGCGGAGCGCATGAATCGAACATTGGTGGAGAAAGTTCGATGTATGTTGTCCAATGCTGGTTTGGGCAAGGAGTACTGGGCTGAGGCTGTAACATATGCGCAACACCTCATTAATCGTTTGTCGTCATCTGCAAAAGATGGTAAAACACCGTTGGAGGTTTGGTCGGGGAAACTTGTTGCTGACTATGGATCTTTACATGTCTTTGGGTGTCCTACGTTCTATCATGCGAAGTATTCAAAGTTATATCTAAGAGCGAAAAAGGCTTTGTTCATGGGAATCACAATTGGCGTGAAGGGATATCGTCTTTTGTGTCTTGAGGCGAAGAAAACTGTGTTTAGCAGGGATGTTACATTCGATGAACAAAGTATGATGAAGACGATGCAAACCCAACAGGTGGAGTTGACACCGAAGCAGGTGGAGATAGATGCGATGACGAGACAACCAGCTATGATCGACGAAACAATATCAAACGATTCCTCGGATGATGATGTTCAGACTCATGAATCATTAGATTTACCCATTGCATTGAGAAAGCCTAGACGAGAGATTCAACAACCTGCTCGATTGGCGGATATGGTGGCTTATGCACTTCCAATTGTTGATGATGACATACCTTTCACTTTTTAAGATGCAATTCGAAGTTTAGAAAATGAGAAGTGGAAGTGGGCTATGGAGGAAGAAATGTTGTCTCTCCAGAAGAATCAAACTTGGAAGGTGACGCAACTACCAAAAGGCAAAAGGGCGATAGGATGCAAGTGTGTATTTGCAAAGAAAGATGGATTTCCTCATAAGAATGATGTGCGCTACAAGGCAAGGTTGGTGGCTAAAGGCTACGCTCAGAAGGAAGGAGTTGATTATAATGAAGTGTTTTCTCCAGTTGTTAAACACTCTTCCATTAGAATTTTGTTGGCCTTAGCAGCACAATTGAATTTGGAGCTAGCTCAACTTGACGTGAAGACGGAGTTCTTACACGGAGAATTGGATGAGGAAATCTACATGACTCAGCCAGAAGGATTCAAAATTCTTGGAAAAGAGAATTGGGTCTGTAAGTTGAAGAAATCGTTGTACGGACTGAAGCAATCTCTGAGGCAGTGGTACAAACGATTTGATAAGTTCATGATTGGGCAGAAGTACACGCGAAGCAGACATGATCATTGTGTGTATTTACGCAAGCTGCAAGATGGATCTTTCATTTACTTACTCTTGTATGTGGATGACATGTTGGTTGCATCAAAGAACCAAGTGGAGATTGATCAATTGAAGGCTCAGTTGAATCAAGAGTTTGAGATGAAAGACTTGGGGGAAACTAAGAAGATTCTCGGGATGAAGATAAGTAGGGATAGAGTGAGAGGCAAGCTTTGTTTGAATCAGAAGTAATATCTGAATAAGGTACTGCGGCATTTCGGCATAAAAGATGAGTCGAAGCCAGTAAGTACACCACTTGCCCCTCATTTGAAGTTAAGTGCCCAATTATCGCCAAATTGTGATGAAGAACGAGAGTACATGCCTAGAGTCCCATATGAAAATGCAGTTGGCAGTTTGATGTATGCGATGGTGTGTACAAGGCCCGACATTTCACAAGCAGTTGGTGTTGTTAGCAGGTATATGCATGACCCTGGGAAAGGTCATTGGCAAGCTGTGAAATGGATTCTACGGTACATTCATAGTACTGTAGACGTTGGATTGGTTTATGAGCAGAATGATTGGTCAGTGTGTAGTTGTATATTGTGATTCTGACTACGCGGGTGATTTGGATAAGCGAAGATCAACGACTGGATATTTGTTCACTTTTGCAAAAGCTCCAGTCAGTTAGAAGTCTACCTTACAGTCAACAGTTGCTTTGTCTACCACAGAGGCAGTGTATATGGCGGTTACTGAAGCTGTGAAGGAGGCTATTTGGCTTCAAAGTTTGTTTGAAGACTTGGGAGTTGGTCAAAAGCACGTCTTAGTGCATTGTGACAGTCAGAGCGCTATTCACTTAGCGAAAAATCAAGTATTTCATGCAAGAACGAAGCATATTGATGTTCGCTATCACTTTGTGCAGGAGATTCTAGAAGATGGAACTGTTGTGTTGAAGAAGATCAAGACGACGGAGAATCCTGCAGATATGATGACCAAGATAGTGGCAGCAGTCAAGTTTGAACATTGTTTAGACTTGACCAACATTCTGCATATTTGAGTTGGCGCCGAGAGGCGCATTTAGAGGCACCGCTAGCATTTGAGTTGGAAGTGGGAGGAAAAATTAGTCAAGGTGGAGAATTGTTAGATTTTGATTAATTTTATGTCCCACATCGGATGTGTACCAAAGATGTGTAGGATCTTTTTAGTATAAATAGGTCCCTTGCCTTTGGGTTACAATTGCACCTTATTCTATTCTCTCCTATTTAGAAGGAAATCCTTAATTAAGGAAATCCTATTTTGTGGGTTATTTAACCCTAGTTGTGTAACGCCCCACTTTTATTTGCAAAAATTCAGGATAATTTTTTTTTTTTTTCGAAATTTATTTCAAAACAATATTTGAGGCGCTACTCATTTT